TTTCTTGACTTCTGATATCATTAGTGTGAGCACTTAAACACAATCAGGGATGTTTACACTGAATGGTAATTGTTTGAGCTGCTGCGCCTATCCTGCTCTTTGTTACAGCAAAAATCTAGTTCTACTGCTTTCTTTACAGTGATGTACATTTTGCTGTTTCAAAACATTTATGTAAATTTCCCATAAAAGATATAAATGATCTCCACCTCGTGCTTCTGGTAGCCCAGCATTCCATTCTCCAAAAAACTCGACAGATGCCACAGTTTCTCAGTCGCTTCCTTGTTTGGTTTATGCGTGGGAACACAGTAAGTAAGTATAAACCTTGTCTCCTCTTAAAAAGGATCCTAACTAGATAGATATGGAAATCTAAGTTTCAGCTTACCGAGGGCCCCGAAATATACTGGTATCACGGACTGAGATCTGAGACAACTAAATGGAAATAATTTGATCCAATACTCACCAAGTGGGCACAGGCAATAGCTTCATGGTGATAAAAATCAAAGTCTTTCTTTGGAGTAGACCTATTTATAATGTTAAATCCTAAATATTAAAATCCTCACCAATCCAATTCCATCAACTAGATACTTTTATAGTTTCATTTAAGTGTAAAGTTCTAAACTTAGTCATTCTAAGATATTCCAGAATGCAAATCTAAATTTGAGGAAAGAAGCCTCCTTGAGATGTATCAAAAATGATGGAAATGTCACTGCACTTGTTTATCTGTTATAAACTGTCATCGGGAGCTGTGACCAAGTGAACATGTGTACGTGCTTTACAGCATCTTGACATGTGCCTAAAGAGGGTTGTATGAGGAAGATGCAAGCTAAGTGACAGCTGCAGCTGGTTGTGGATATTTACTAAGCAATAGGTCCTACTCTCGAGCGCATGCCAGTTCCAGTCTGTGCTCTGTGCACTCCTTGGGCCACAAGGTGATTCAGACTAAAACTAGTGACAATTGCTATTGAATATTTAAAATATTGTCTTTTCATTGCTTGCTGCCACCTAACTTATTCTATCATCTTGTAATATTTAGTGTCTAGAAGTGATGGGTTTTTTTCCCCCTCATAAATAAAGCATTGTCTAACCATTCATATTGTCATTACTCTACAAGCAAACCAGCTAATTTATCTGGAGCTAATTCTAAAGCAATTTAGCATGTTGCTGCTTGCCTCTCATCAGATTCTCAGTCCCAGGAATATATTTGAAAGGCTGCCACCCTTTTAACTTTGAAACTCCTACTCCTGCATAAGCCAAGTCCTTCACAAACTCCCTACCCACAGCTCCTTTCATAACCACAAGGAAAGAGCATTTCCATAATGACACCATGAACGGCAATTTTCTTTGTAAAAGTTAGCATTCTAATTTAGGGTCCAGTAAAGAAGCAGCCTCTCCAAGAACAACCATTTTCAAAACCTCCAATGGCATAAAATTGATTATTCCCAGAGTTAAAGCATTTAAACTAACAGGAACTCCTCAAGCACACAAATACCTTCAGGAAAGTAAATTATTTTTAGCTTGACATTAATGTATGCTACTTGTTGAATCTAGGATTAGACTAACGTCTCTCACTGATTCCCTTTCCCTACAACTTTTCAGAATCAAACAATTTCAACAGAGGTCTTTAAGCATAGTAGTCAAAGCTTAGTTTTCCTTGTTGCGCTATTGGCTATGGCTTTGTTTACAGAAATGATTAAAAAGCTAGTGTGGAAGTATGCAATAAAACAGATGTGAACAGTCTTTTGTTTTGTGACAAATGTAATTGGACTGAAAGAGGTCTTTCAATGTGCACTAGTATATATTGCAACTTGGAACTACTGCATACAAAAGTCTACAAACAGGCTTGGGATTTATACTGCACTTTTGATTGTATAGAAATAACTAGATAAAAATTTATATATTGTCAAAGTCTGTCTAGCTTCCAGAACTGTACTTTACAGAAGAAAATCAATTCTGGGAGTAGCTGGTCATAGTATCTATTGAGTTATTTATACAGTCAAAGAGTTATGCAGCACAGAAACAGACCCTTTGGTCCAACTTGTCCATGCTGACCAGACATTGTAAACAGATCTAGTTGCATTTGGCCCATATCACTAAATTCTTGCTGTTCATGTACCCATCCAGATGCCTTTTAAATGTTGTAATTGTACCCACCTCCACCACTTCCTCTGGCAGCTCGTTCCATACACGCACCACCTTCTGCGTGAAGAAGTTACACCTCAGGTCCCTTTTAAGTCTTTCCTCTCTCACCTTAAACCTATGCCCTCTAGTTTTGGACTCCCCTACCCTGGGGGGAAAAAAAAAAGAAGAGATCTTGGGTACTCACCCTGTCCATGCCCCTCATGATTTTATAAACCTCAATAAAGGTCACGCCTCAGCCTCCAACCCTCCAGGGAAAACAATCCCAGCCTTTCAGACGCTCCCTATAGCTTAAACCCTCCAATCCTGGCAACATCCATTTAAATCTTTTTGAACCCTTTCAAGTTTAACATCATCCTTCCTTTAGCAGGGAGACCAGATTAACAGTAGTCCAAAAGTGGCCTAACCAAATGTCCTGTACAGCCGCAACATGACATCCTAACTCCTACACCCAGTGCACCACGAGTTTGCAAGAGATCCTGGACACATACTGTACAAAAAAGTGTTTTCAGGGAACGCTGGGGGGAATGAAAGGAGTTGAAATTAAAATACAGCTGAAGCTGAAGGCTTGTCCGAGGAGTCCGAAAGAGCGTCCGGTACCATATGCCATCTGGTCTAAAGTGGAAACATAACTGGAAAGGCGTGTGAATCTGGGAGCATTGGGACCAGTGGGACCGGTAACCATTGGTGATGGGCCATGCCAATCATTCTGGTCTTAAACACAGGTAGTGTATTGAGGATTTGTGGTGACTTTCAGGTCAAGTCACTGGGTGCGGATCAATACCGATAGAGGGGTCTTTCCAACTACAAGCAACTGTCTTTGACATCATATCAGTGCAGCTCTATTCCAGAGTGTCACGGACCAAACTTTAAGTGGATTGCCAGGAGCTCAGGGTTATCTGGACAATACTGTGGTCAGTGTTTCTCCGAAGAGAAGCATTTGAGAAACCTCAAAAGGAACACTAAAAAAGGTTTCAGGAGCACAGCCCTACAAATAAGGGAGAAATGTGAGTATTTTAGGGACTCCATTGAGTACCTGGACCATGTATAATCCTTTGCAATTGATTACATGACACCCAAGAATATGGAGGCTATCAGGAAGGTCCCTAGATCAGAGAATGTGTCTCAACTGAGATTGCTCTTGGGCTTGTCAATTACTATGGCAAGTCTGTCTCGAATCTGGCAACTGTGCTAAAACCCATCGATTGCTGAGAAAAGGGTGGCCATGGAAATGGACCCTGGTAATGTGAGAAGGCTTACAGGAAGGTGAAGCAAGCCTTAAGAATGTTAAGTGATTTTGACCTGAAGTTACCAATACATTTTTTGGGGTTGGTGCTGCACATGGTGTCATCCATCTTATTGAATGGAGGGGAAAGGTCTATCGCATTCACATTGATGTCACAAACAAAATCAGAGGAGAATTATGCCACACTTGAAAAAGGAGGATTGGGCATCGTTTTTGGCATTAAGTTCGCCCATTTCCTTTATGGCAGGCACTCCATACTGCTGACAAACCACAGGCCGCTAACCTCCATTTTTGATTTATATAAAGAGATACCTTGAATGGCGGCAGCATACCTGCAGAGATGGGCACCGACTTGGTCAGCCTATTCATAGGAAATCAGATACTGACGAGCAAAGAAAGACAGCAAAGCAGATGCCTTGTCAAGGCTGCCGCTACCAGAAAGCGTAGATGTTCCCGATTGGGACCTGAAAATTATGGATGTATCACATCTATTTTCAAGTATACACTGTGCATTCACATTTGTGAACGTGAGTGTCCAGGCTAAACAAGCTCTACCAGTGATCTTACTGGTTGCTCAACTCCTTCTGCAAAAACAGGGCCCCTCAAAGTAAAATGACTTCATATCAAAAGCAGATTTTTGCTTCTGACTTTTTAAGCACCACAGAAGTTTACAATCGTTTTCAATTGACAGCAAAATAGGTTAAGGTTCAGAATGCAACATGCAGAGTAAGTAAACCTTTAGATCCATGTTAATCATTTTATGTAACAAATTATTTGAGAAGCAATTCAACTTACAAAACAAGAAAAATAAATACTAAACAAATTAAAAAGGTCAGGATAGTAGTAGTGGTGGACATGGTGGTTATAAATTTCAATTCTTTAGGGACATTTTTAATAATAGCAACTTTCAAATATTCAATTTATCACAACTGTCGCAAAAAGAATTCATTCACGGGATGCGAGCAACACAGCCCAGTTATTTGTTGTCCCTTCTTGATTGCCCTTGAGAAGGTGGCAGTGGGCCATTTACTTGAAAGACAGCAGACCGTTTGGGATTGTTGGAAGGGAGTTCCAAGATATAATACAACATTTAATGTAATCCTTTGAATTTCCCCCATTGTATTCCAGTTCAGGAGCCTATATAATCTAAATCCAAACTGTACACTACAGTGACTATGTAAATTTCAGAGTGCCCATTCTTAAGCAAAATACTTCAGAAACTGGAAGTCCAAAACAAACAGAAAATGTTGGAAACTGTCAGCAGATTCAATAGCTCTGACAAAAGGCCATCACACTGAAACCTTTATTTTGCTGAAACCTTATTTCTCTCTCCACACATGCTGAGACACCTAAATATTGCCAATATTTCTGGTTCCAGATTAGGCAAGTAATCATTAAGTTTTGATGGTACAGTCGCACAAAACCCTGTAGGGAAATAGAAGCTCACTTCATTTTTCTTTTCAAAAAATTTTATGGCTGTATTTCATGTACAAGTAACTGGGTTACCAAAATTATGATTCATCAGGAAAAGGGAAGAACTGAATGACTGAAATACTGGCAGAATTCATTTCTAAGAACTTCAACAATTAAAATACACTTTTGACATCACTGCACTTACCATTTGCTCCAGGTCTTGCACACTCTCATACAGATGCACAGATCCTTATGGCTGAGGTACCTGAATATTGCCAGCCACACTTCCCGTTGCATCACATGTTTTGAGCCACCAGCCAATGGTAGAGAATCAGGCTCAGGACTATCGGGTGGAGGTCGCACCACATGCCGCTCCATTTGAAATGGCTTAGGAGGAGACTGCACAGACAGTTTGCTTAGTATCTGAGGACGAGGCAAACCTCCTAGAACTTTGTGGCAAAGCTGACTGGATGGTCCATTTTTCTTCTGCAGTGAAACCTCCACTGTCCTAAAGGAGTTTTTTTTCATATTCTCCCCTCTCAGGGAATAATAGTTATTTTCTCTATCCTTGGAGGCCAAAAGCGAATTTGTTTTTACACTTTTCGCATTTTCTACATCATCTTCCTCCTCTTCATCATCTTCCTCACTGAAAATATCATTAGAAAGCCTTCTGAGCTTGGACCTTTGGTTATCAGCCTTTGCATTTGACCTTGGACTAGATCCATCACTACTTCCTGTTGATCTCTCCAAGCTGGATTCTGATCCAGAACTTGAATTGGAGTCAGAATCAGAACTAGAGCTAGAGCTGGTTGCTTCATTTCGGTTGACACGTTTCATCATTTGTCGTATCCGTTCTATTCTTTCTGCATCTTCTGATTTTTCATGATTTGCTTTAGTGCATTCTTCAGAATCTGGAGTTGTTTTCCGTTTCTAAAGAACAAAAATCAAACTAAAAAGAGTTAAAAATTAAAAACCCTCAAAATGCTAAATTTCAAAAATCTGCAAAGTCAAAATGTTTTAATTGTTACAGTAAGCTTCAAATGATAAAATGGTTAATTACTTTCCATTGTCAAAGAAAGTAATGCTTCAATTTACTTTTCATTTACCTAAAAGAAAAGGGGGTCAAACAAGAGGCAGAGCCTTGAAAAATCAGGCTCCTACTTTTGATTAAAGATCATAAATTTAGAGTTTGAAATAAGTGAAGCCACAGTGAATTTTGTTTAATCTATATTTTTTGACATGTGAAATTCCTGCCAAAGTAATGTTGACAAATGGAAATTAATATGGGAGCAAAAAGCATCATTTCCCTTCTGGCTTTATTCTGTTCCAAATGAAGTTACTGCTCTTACATAAAATGTTTTAAAGACCTCTGTGTGTAATAATGAACTCTAGAATGCAGTAACCAGACAAATGTAGCAACCACTTTACCCACAGCATGCAAGTCCAGCAGCAAAGCTCTTTGGTGGGGCTGGAAATGGAAGGAAAGTTACGCAAAACATCATAAGAATTCAGCTATTTTTCAAATGAACTATGAAGTCATTAACATCTCACCCAAAGGATGGGTCTCAGAACGCAACTGTGCAGCTGCATTATTTACATTAAAAGATCAGCTAAATTTCTTTCTCAAGAGTTGGACTAGGACTTCAACTTATTTTTGCCACAGAAGCAACATCAAGATAAATACAACACAAAACAGTTTCAAGAAGATCTGGTCCTCTTCACAAAAGTCAAACAATTTTAAAATGAGAGAGTTTATGCAATTTCATTTGATATCAAAACTAAAATAACACAATTTAAAAGTCTGTGATAATGAACAAATTGTCAGGCAAGATAAGAAAGAGGAGACAGACCATGATTTCCTTCTCTCGATTAGAAAAACTGCTGCGTTGTACAAAATGGTGCTGTTTCACTTTCCAGAGTTAATCCGAGCAAATACAGGTCAGCTCTTGAATTCTAGCTTCTGGACTAAATGAAGATGAATGGCAAGTGAAACTGATCGTCAACTAAACAGATTTACAAGCCATTTCACCAAAACTGTACGATAATCAAGTAGGGCCTATGAATTTGATGATAGTGCAAGTGTAACGCTGTCCTGAGCAATATAGCATCTGGGATTTTATTTAATACTAACCAAACTTTCAATTACAAAATATTGCACGATGACTATTAAACATTCAGAACGGTCTCTTCCTCAGTCACGGCATACAAGGAACAGGAAAAGTGCTCTTAAGAAAACATTTGGGATTGCCTCCTTGCAATTTAAATGCATTATATACATGCCTAACCTTAGGCAAAGCAAAACAAAAAAATGATTATTTAATCAAGTGATCTTAATATCTTGCTATAAAAAGTAAAACTAACAGAAAATGCTGCAGACATTCAGCAAGTCAGGCAGCAGCTCTGGAGAGGTGGTGGTAAAATAGCCAGTTCTGGTCAATATGGGAATAACTGGGGCTTAGTAGTAACGCTCTCACCTCTGAATCAACTGCAAGTTCAGTCCTACTCAAGCCTGAAATCTGGGTTGGAACTGAATGCAGTATTGATGGAGTGCTGCACTGTCAGAATCTTTAGATAAAATATTAAGATATTAAGTCAAACATATCACAAATCTCATGGAGCCATTTTTGAAGAAAACTTTGACAGTTATTCCTAGGCAAAGTTCTTCCCTCTCAAGCAACATCACATGGAGAATATCTGGTCATCACGTACCATTTGGGACACCAAGTCCCAGAAGTTGTGGACATTAATTTATGTTCTTTCCTATTGACGAAACAATAACCCGATTCTTTACTCCGGGATCAATTGTTTCCAATAATTGTTTCTATTTTATACTTATCTACTTTGATCACAAATGATTTCAAATGTAGGCACTACAGAAATGACAAAAAGAAGATTTAAATTTGCCTTTTCTTTTTAAATAAACAGACCTTGCTTAATAGCATCCAAACAAAATTACTGCAAAAGCAAAATATGAAAGTGATTATAAAATGCTACAGCAGCATTGTCTGGGAATAGAATCTTGGCTCAATTAATATTGTGCTTGGGGCCAACAAAATCTAAACGCAGAGACAGCATAAACTATAAATTCATAGTTCTACAGATTAAGATTACACTCGAGTAACTGATTGAGCACAAAATATAGCAAATTACAGAAAGTTTAAACTACCTTCTCTGGAAAGCTGAATTTGAAAGTCGCAGTTGAAGATTGTTTTTTAAAAAAATTGTGTGTTAAAAACAATGTTTTTTAAAGGCATAACAGATACCAATATTTATTTCAGCAACCACAATACACGAGCAGATATCAGTAAGGAAAATAATAGAGATTTATATTGTACTTTCCACAGCCACTGGATATCTCAAACACTTGCAGCCAATTAAGCAGCTCCAAGATATAGTCATTTGTATAATGTACAGAATATAGCAGCCAATTTACACAGACCAAACGCACACAAACAGCAATATGATAATGACCAGATACACAGTTTGTGATGTTGATTGACGAATAAATCTTGGTCAGGAGACCAGGATAACATTTGTCTTTGGAAGAGTAACATGAGGCTGTTTAATCCATCCAAGTTAGACCACAGTTTAACATCTCATCTGAAAGACAGCACCTCGTAGAATGTAGTACTCCCTCAGTAGTTGACTGTAGCATTAACCTTGATTTTTTGTGCTCAAGTCTTGGAGTGGGGCTTCAATCCAGAACCTTGTGACTCAGAGGCAAGCGTGAGTTCAACTAAGCTTCCGAAGACACAATCATATAATCCCTAGTGTGGAAACAGGCCATTTGGCCCAACAAGTCTACACTGACTCTCTTGAAGAGCATTCTGCCCAGACTTACCCCCTCCCTACCGTATCCCTATATTTCCCATAGCTAATCCACATCCCTGGGCATTACAGGCAATTTAGCATGGCTAATCCACCTAGCTCGCACTTCATTGGACTGTCCATACAGACAGTCGCCAGGGGCTGGAATTGAACCTGGGTCCCTGGTGCTGTGAGGCAGCAGTGCTAACCACTGAGCCACCGTGCCATCCTAACGATGCTCAAGAACAGCCATGACTTTGTTAATCAATAGCAGCCAGAGTAAAATTAATTAGCCATCTTTGTTGCAAGCCAACACTTAGATAACAAAGTTAAATACACTGACTCAACATGCATTATTTAAAATGTGAAGGGTCATTTTAGACAGCATGCAAAACACATAACTTTATAAATTCCTTATTATCCAATATCAGCGGCATGGTAGCTCTGTGGTTAGCACTGTTGCCTCACAGCGCCAGGGACCTGGGTTCAATTCCACCCTTGGACGACTGTGTGGAGTTTGCACATTTTCACCGTGTCTGTGTGGGTTTCCTCTGGGTGCTCCGGTTTCTTCCCACAGTCCAAAGATGTGCAGGTTAGGTGGATTGGCCATGCTAAATTACCCATCTAGTGTTCAGGGATGCGTAGGTTAGGTGTGTTAATCAAGGGAAGTGCAGGGTTACAGGGGTAGAATAGGGGGATGGATCTAGGTGGGATGCTCTTCGGAAGGTCGGTGTGGACTTGTCGGACTCAATGGCCCGTTTCCACGCTGTATGCATTCTAAAGTTAAGCAGATTGATGCAGTATCAAATTAATGATACTACTTGGCAAATTAACAAAACAAAACAAATCAGGCAGCAGAATTTCAAATTTTGTTAAATTGGGCTGTGTGTTAAGTTGATAAGTTGAGTGTTAACTTAAGTGTATCCTTGAAACGATAATGGCTCAAATCTCGAAATTGTCACAGAGCATACATACAACTGAAGATTTGCGTCACGACATTTATGGACATCCTAACACCTGTACATACATTGGAACTGGCTAGCCGGTTCCAACTTCCAATAGGCAATACCCTCACTACCCAGAACCCTGGATTAGGGCAGAGAGTTGGGTTAGATACCCATGACGAATCTTGACAATTACCCCGGAAATCTTAATTTGAAACCTGGCCTATCAGCTGGATAACTCCATAACCAACTCCTCAATAACTGCATCAACCCCTAGCCTCAACTACCTAACAATTCACCCAGGTATTTACTAATTCATTTAAAGACCAGACCTTTAAATACCTCCCAAAATGCAACAGATACAGACATAAAATAGGAAACTGTCCTTTCCTTTCCTCCATCACTGCAGCCCTCATCTTCTGGAGTGGAAGAAAACTTATATCTATTAAGAAATTTAATGTAACTGACTGCAGCAGTAAATCTGAGGAAGTATTCCAATATAGCTGGCAAGATCTCAGATATGGTAGGCAAGCCAGTATGATACAAATGGAAAGGCACATGCTTGTGAAAGATTTACTAAAGCAGCAATAGGTCAGCATACTGGGGTTGACGACAGTCTCCAGATTTAAAAATCAACAAAATGGTCGTCATTACCTTATGGATTCTGTGAATTCTCAACAAGGTCAACTATCTCTATTAACTGATCCAAAACAAAATGAAAAGACATACACATGGCCACACAGTATCAAGGTATTGCCTGATGTCAGAAAATCAACCTCAGCAATAGTTAGTACCTTCTACAGGACAGCCTAGATTTTCAGAAAAATAAAGTTAAGAAGGACGGCGCTCAGCAGAAAATTCTCTCCATTCACCAGTGTGATTATGAGAGAACCTTGCACTCATTAGATACTCAGTCAAATTAATTTACAGAGAGAGACACAAACTCACTGCTAGTTAGGAAGGAAACTTTTTCTATTTGGGATTTAAGGAAAAAAGAACAAAAACTATAAGCTGAAATGTTTCTAAATTATTTGATCACCCTAATACTTCTGCTGTCTTAGAATAACCAGCAGAACACTGAAACGGAGTATAACTGGCTTCATTTGTGGAGTTTATCAAATTGAGTTGTACAGTAACTGCCATTTAGAGTTTCAAGTGTACAGCTTTGCACCTTCAAAACTGAACAAACAAAAATATTGAAAGGGTACCAATTTTAAAAAAAAAAAAATCAATCTTGGTTAAAAAATATTTCACAAAATTCATCATTTTAACAGAGACAAACCAAAACTACATGCATGCAAATTTTAAAATCTAGCAACATTGCCTACCTTTCTCTTTTGAAGTTTGTCATCCTTTCCACCTCTTAGCTAAAGAAAAGGAAAGCACAAACATGAAAATATAATTAGCCATTGATCTGTAATAAGTGTATTTCTGTATAGTGAATACAATGTTTCTGAAATGCCTAACAGGCATTTTGCATTGTAAATACATAAATCTTTGATTTTTAATAAAGGAAGAAATTAAGAACATATGAAGCCGGTTTTGAACTTCTGAGATCATTGGCGTCCTGTGACTTAACTCATATTCCTTAATACCTTTGATTAACAGATCTATCAATTTCAGTTTAAAGTTAAACAATGCTTCTAATATCAACTGCTGTTTGCAGAAGAGTTCCAAACATCTACTATCCTTTCCTTGTTTCCTAATAGCACTCCTGAAAGATCTGGCTGTAATTTTTAAATACGTTCCCAAATGGGAGACTCGCAAGCTCACAATTTCTTTTCCCCCCTCAGTCTACCCTGTCAGATTTAAAATTTCTTGAAAATTGGATGCTTTACTACAGACTGGAGGATTTGAGGATACATGATAGACAATGAGAATCTGTGAAAGCCACAGTATTGAAGGCACAGAGTAGAAATGGAAGTTCATCAGAAAGATCATCTTGGCCGGGACATGTTTGACAATAGTTTTCAATGGCACGGAGTTCTGTGAAGTCATCTTTCACTTATTGTAAATGTACTGATGCTGCAGAGACCAGCAATCCCTGCTTAATCCTAATTACAAATACAGTTTACTGGTCTGTACTTTCTTTGCTTTCCCAGTTGTTTAATAAAAGTTAAGGTTACAAAGTGATGGAAGCTTTCACAACATCTAATGGTCCCTCATTCAATCATGACTAAATTTAATGTTCGTATTTAGTATGCTAGGATAGCTACCCTTCAGATAGGGTTAGGACATTGTAGGGTTCTAAAGACTGTGAACCTCTCTACCTTCACCCCTGTAATTGTCACTGCAACTATATTTGGTCACATGGTTGCTAATGAAAAACGAACACATATTTAGAATATATTTATTTGTCATTTTATTTACAATGAAGTTTCATTCACACCACCCATGTGGCCTCGGATGGGTTTTCTTTTCCTTTTCTCTCTCTCCCACGATGTCTAGGTGCAGTCTTGGTGTCCATGGATGGGATGGAGGGAGCCTGTTCTATCATGAAGACTGATCACCTTGGAGTTTTGGTTGGGAGAGTCTGGGGAAATTTATGGTTAGAAGGCTCAGACATGCTCATAGGGTGTCCTGTCAAGATGCAGGCTCACCCTCAACTTGAAATTCTACAGGGTTGTGCATTGCAGGCAGAGTGGAGGGGGTGCTGGGCACCTCTGGCATGTCCCACGAGAGGACTTCAGGGATTCCGTATGTGGCTCCTCCTCTGATTAGCTGCCTACTTACACAAACCTGTTTCCTTATGAGGCAGAGGCATCTGGAATGAGTCAAGGTCCCTCATCGCCTGGTTGTCTTGCCATCGTTGCTGAGCACCATTGGCTAGAGCAATGCAGTTAAAGTCTGTGTGCATATCGATAGACATTCTGCATGCTGGATCTGGCTCTTCATGGCAGCCATCAACTATCCATGCAGACAGCCAGACATGTGCATGCCACTGTCATCACAGTACCAATAGCATTGATGGACACCTCCAATCTTCGATCTAGTTTGCCAAGTGTCTCTGATGAATCTGCTTGCTGCTCCTGTGACTTTGCATTTTAATAAAATTGTTAATGATCAACAGCTTGAGGTTTTCTCCTGCTTCAGGCTGAGCAGATGGCTGGTCTCTAGCAGGCCTGAGTGCCAGCAACCTGGGGTATTTCTTCCTCAGCCAGCTGTGGAGATGTGCCAGGGATGCGCTCCTGCTTCAAATCCTGCTGACACATCAGATACCACTGACGTATCAGTTTCAGAGCTGATAGGGATGCAGGGAACAACCATGCCACTGCTGCCTCCTGAGGGGTCTGAGATTTCTTCTTCAGAGTGGGAGGCGGTACTGTTGGCTGGAGAGACTGCTGTCTTCAGGGAACAGGATGTGTGAATGCCACTGGTACCTGCAGATAAAGACAGTGGGAATTAATTGCAAAATAGGGGTGGAAGCTTGAACACGTTAAGAATACATTTACAGTGATAGTAACGGGAGAGCCAAATGAATCTTACTTGGTTGGTAGGACATGGAAGCCTCGCCCTCCCTGTGTGAGATGTCTCCGTTCTATTCCTCAAGCTCAAGATTCTCTCCTTGTCTTCTCACCCCACACAAGTATCAGGCACCCCACCATTTGCTTTAGCCACCTCTGTCCTATTGCAGCCGTTTTCTCCTGCAATGAGATAAACGGGGGGATTGAGTGAGATGAAAGAGATTGGCACAGTAGTTAGTGTTGGTCCATGTGCAGGAAAGGTGGTGATGTGCTCTAAACAAATGAGGGAGTAGAAAATGCAGAAGGCAGCAAGGTTTACATGGTACTTATAAAAATGAAAGCGGTGGATCTTCAGCTTTGGCAGGAGGTGGGTGCAGTGGAGTTTGAGTGAGTGTGAGGTAACAGAGAAGATTGTGTCACTCACCTTGGCAAAGCACAGATGATTAATCTTCTTGCAGTATTGTTGAGCATTCCTGAGGACTGTGAACACTGCACTCTCAGGTAGCCACTTCATGCCAGGCTGTCACGGTCCATGTAGTGGTTTCCTCCATCAGTGAGGAAACAAGATGACCCTCTTCTCCACTATCTCATCACCAGGATCTCCAGGTCCCAATCAGCAAAGTGGCTTGCCAAACTATGTCTATCAACCATCTCTGAAGCAGTTCTGCCCATTCAGAACTGCAAGAGAAAGGTTAATTCCTGACTTGTAGTGGTGGACCAGGTGCAGAGCTGTGCTTTAAGTATAGCTCCATTGACAGGAAACCTGGACGTTCCAGACAGCGGCAAGCACTTCACTGCTGGTGAGTGCACAATAACATGAGTGTGGTACGCAACGAATAAAGCAGCAGACAATTGCACAAGATAACTTACTGGAGCTTAGTGAAATTCTCCATGAAACTCCACGAAATTGATATTTCGCCAATACTAGGCAAAATTCAGCTCATGGAGTTAGTAGTTTCCTGATTACAGACATAAGACAAACTGATATATATATTTCTATGGTTTTCCTCTTGTACTTATCAAGATTGACAGCTGTAACTAGAGCTCACTGTAGAAGCACCCAAGTACTAGCATCAATTGTACTCCATCAACATTCATTACTGAAACTAAACTTGAAATTCCAGGCTGAAGCATCTTTTTCAATTTGGCAATTGCAATTCTCTCTAATCCTGCCACAAATTGTTCAGTCTATTGACAGGTTTAAGTGTCCAAAAGACGACTGAAATTATAATTTTACACAATGCAAAAAGAGTAATATTGTGCCCAAGAGAAACCCAGTTAAAATGAAGCTATCGGCAGCCTACAAATCAAATATCTTAAGAACTTTTAAATTCTAGGAAACATAGAAAAAAGGAGTAGGTCATTTGGCCCTTAAGGCCTCTCCACCATTCAACATGATCATCCAACTCAATATCCTGATCCTGCTTTCTTCCCATACCTTTTGATCCTTTTGACCCCAAAGAATTATATCCAACCTCTTGAAAACAATGTTTGGCCTCAATTGCTTTTTGTGGCAAAGAATTCCACAGGCTCACTACTCTGGGTGAAGAAATTGCTCATCAGTCCAAAATGGCCAAACCTGTATCTCCCTGGTTTTGGACATTCTGGTCATCAGGAACACCCTGCCTGAGTTTATTCCATCCAGTCCTGTTAGAATTTTATAGATTTTGACGATATGCCCCTCCTGGGTCAGTTTGCTTAGTTGGCTGGACAGCTGGCTTGCAACGCAAGAGTGACGCCAACAGCATCAGTTCAATTTTCACACCAGCTGAGGTTACCATGAAGGACTCTCCTTCTCAACCTCTTTCCTTGCCAGAGGTATGGTGATCTTTGGGTGAAGACAAAACCAGTTGTGTCTCTCGCTCCCTCTCTCAAACTCCAGTCAATAAAGTTTGAACTGATCCAATCTGTCCTCGTATGTCAGTCCTGCCATCCCAGAAAAATCAATCAGTCTGGTAAAACTTCACTGCGTTCCCTCCATAGCCAGAACATCCTTCCTCAGGTAAGGAGAACAAAACTGCACATAGGTGTAGTCTCACCAAAGCCCCGTAGTGTTGCAGCAAGACGTCCCTGCTCCTGTACACACACGGTCTTGCTATAAAGGCCAACAGTACCATTTGCCTTCATCGCCTGCTGTGTCTGCACACTTATTTCAACTAAATAAGTGGCCAAGGACAGCCAGATCTCATTCCACTCCCCCTTCTCATTCTATCACCACGACATGTAAGGCACTGATGGGTAATCTAGATCCAAGCATGGGTGAAATCAGTGTTTTAAATTTTAATGTTAGAGAATGCGTTAGTTTCCTCCTCCTTTAGGAGCTAAGTTATTATCCAGATATTAAAAAGAAAATGTTTATTCCACATGGCTGAGAGACAATCATGACAAGTCAACAGTGATACTCAGCTAACTGTAGAAACCCAAATACAAATCTTGCATTTTTTTCAACACAACAGCTGAACATTCAGCAAATCTTTTTTCAGATATGAGGTGAGCCTATTTCCTGACTTTCTTTTAGAGCTGTCTCAGACAAAATCTACAAAAATAATTGTAAATGTGTCAGCTTAACTTCCAGCCAAGTTTGAACTTTCATCTCATTCATAAATACCGTAAATACTGTGGTAATGTTAAAAAAAGAAAAAATGCTCAAGCAAGGAATATCCTGTTGTTTAATAGTGTAACACAAAAACGTGCTCACCCCACATTAAAAGTTTAACTTGGAAGACGAAAATCTCAAATATGTACGCTCTGATCCTAAGGTCTAACTTCAATGCCCAAGGTGGGAATGAAAGGTATTTTTAAAAATTCAGTGGTTCTAACCAGTGTTAAAATACAAAATATTATTTTAGTCATATTTTATGCCATGCTTTTGTTCAAAATGGTCACCTCACTTCTTAGTCATT